CCAGGTGGACCCCACCGAGCCCGTGGGCGGGGCGCGCATGCGCCTGACCCAGGAAGAGAAAGAACGACGCCGCAAGCTGAACCTGTGCCTCTACTGTGGGAATGGAGGCCACTACGCTGACAACTGTCCTGCCAAGGCCTCCAAGGCTTCGCCGGCGGGAAACTCCCCGGCCCCGCTGTAGAGGGACCTTCAGCGACCGGGCCGGAAATCATAAGGTCCCCACCAGATGATGCTTCATCTCACCTGCAAGTGATGCTCCAGATTCACATCCCGGGCAGACACACCCTGATCGTCCGAGCCATGATCGACTCTGGCGCCTCCGGCAACTTCATCGATCACGAGTACGTCGCGCGACACAACATTCCTCTGAGGATCAAGGACTGGCCAATCCTTGTGGAAGCGATCGATGGACGCCCCATAGCATCGGGCCCCGTTGTCCACGAGACGCACGAGCTGATCGTCGACCTGGGGAATCACCGGGAAGTGCTGTCCTTGGATGTGACTCAGTCTCCGTTCTTCCCCATCGTCCTGGGGGTGCGCTGGCTGAGCACACACGACCCCAACATCACCTGGAGCACCCGATCGATCATCTTCGACTCCGAATACTGCCGATACCACTGCCGGGTGTACACCCCCATCCCAGCCTTCCTCCCACCAGCACAGCCGCCCTTCTTCTACTCGATCGAGGGATTCAGAGTTTACCAGCCCGTGAGGTACTACTACGTGCAGAACGTGTACACTCCAGTGGATGAGAACGTCTACCCGGATCACCGCCTGGTGGACCCCAACATCGAGATGATCCCTGGAGCTCACAGCATTCCCAGCGGGCACGTGTACTCGCTGTCCGAGTCCGAGATGGCCGCTCTGCGGGAGTTCATCGCCAGGCACGTGAAGGATGGCCTGATCACTCCGACCATCGCCCCCAACGGAGCCCAAGTCCTCCAGGTGAAAAGGGGATGGAAGCTGCAGGTCTCCTACGACTGCCGTGCTCCCAACAGTTTCACCATCCAGAATCAGTACCCTCAGCTCTCTGTTCCAAATTTGGATGACCAGGCGCACCTGGCCACCTACGCTGAGTACGTTCCTCAGATTCCTGGATACCCCACGTACCCGGCCTATGGCGCCTACCCGACCTACCCAGTCGGATTCGCCTGGTACCCAGTAGGAAGAGATGGACATGGACGCCCGCTCTATGTCCCCGTGATGATCACTTGGAATCCTCACTGGTACCGCCAGCCTCCGGTACCCCAGTATCCG